TAGATATCAAAAGTGTATAGATCAACAGAAATAGAGTTTGATTACAGTTTTAAAATATCAGAATTACACATACACAAAACAGAATAGGGTAGCAACATTGTCTCAAATGTTGACTACAGTGTCACAAAACATTAAACAAAGGTGTCCATCACTTAGTATGTCAATAGTAAGGTAAAACATTGCCTCATGAAATAACTACAATCAATATTCTCTTAGATTCACTATTCACTATTACAAGTGCACACAACTGCAAACATGTCCACAACAATTCAGTCACCAAAAATTTGACTTAATTAAATCATTAAATTAAAAAAATGAGATTTTTTTAGTTAGTAAAAATGCTTCAGAATGGAAGAACTGTAAAATGTTTGGGGAACTCCTTACTTAATGAGCAATGAAAAGCCAATAAAAAAGTACAATTACAGGAAAACTCTAATCACATTGCATGGCACTGGCTTTGCTAAGTTTTTAAAATGAATATTAATTTTTTTAAATCTTGGCACACCCTTGTCCTATCAGGAGCCATACAAATAAATGTCAAAAAATTATACCACAATAAGACTAGTGCTATAATAGACTAAAAGTAGTTTCCATACAAACTTAGTTTAAAATGCACCTGTCATTCACACTTTGTGGAGTTACAGTGCGTAGAAATTAAAGTCGAGTCACCTCTCCTTGAGCGCTTTTGCTATCAGTCTGACTAGCCATATCACGCAATGCCTGAGCTTGCTGTGATTGCTGCTGTTGCTGCTGCTGCTTTTCTTGATTTGGTTGGGACTGTTGGTTAACTTGCTTTTGAGGAAGTGGATGAATTTCATAAGTAACATTCTTGTGATGGTGATGTGCCTGCTTAGGCGGTTTATCGGCAGTGATGATGCGGCGATTGGAAGAAGTGGATGCCGCATCCAGGCAATCACAGCTATGACTTGAGTCTGTACGACACAGTAAGTTTTCTGCACTACTTTTACTTACTAGGGGTCCAGTGACAATGTAGTATTGACGTCCACAAGAATCTTCTAGACAACCTGTGAGCAAATTTAAGTCTTGAAATTGAAGGAGATTGTCATTTAAATTAAATCATAGTGAAGACCTGTGTATTACCAGTAGGCTGCATTTTGTATCCTCTATTCGAATGCTCTTTTTGTGAACCACTTCTCTGACTAGTATTTTCAAGGTAACCATAACCGAATCCATAGCCCCCCATTCCTTTGGTAGTAAGATTATCGCATGATTTTGGTTTCACTGGGTTGTATATGTGATAAGTAGTAGCATAAGTTTCTAACTGGAAAAGGAGAGAGGCATTATATAAATAACACAAATTTAAAATGGAGCAAAAAGATTTAAATCTTACATCTAATTGACTATGCAGTTAAGCCTTTAAACTTAGTCAAAGCAATCTAACATACCATACATGTTTGAGGAAGATGCTGAGTACTAAGATGGCTCTGTTGCCTTCAACAAATATTCTGGCAAATGAAAAAGGGGAAAAGAAAATAATAAAACTGATAAAGCTTAAATATCCATGCAAATCAAATTGTATGCTATTTCATACATTAAAATATAAAAAAAAAGCTGCTTTTTTAAAATAAAATTTAAAGAAAAAACAATCATTTTTTCCTTGAAACTATGAATTACAGGGCAATAGTAGATAGATAAATAGACCATGCAATCTACTTTGAGATCTTATAACATACATGACTAAAGACATGCACAATTAGAGAAATAGGATTACTACTTACATTTGCATTTTGAGACAATTGAGTATGGGTTAGAGCTGAATGCATTGAGTCATCCCAGTACAAAGTATCTGTGCTAAGAGATGTTGCATTGGATGCAGTAGCCGCATGTTCACTCCAGTTGGATGCACAAGAATGGAGACTGCACTGACTAACAAGCCCTGACGCTGCAACTTGACTGTGACTACTTCCCCCAGAGCTCACAGTCCCATTAGTCGTGGATGCACCACCCAAGCTCATGTAACGATGCGAGTGAGGTTGTTGCTGGTTCTGATGATGTGGCTGTTGATGGTATTGGTGCTGTTGCTGATGTGAATGCTGATGACTTGAACGTCCACTGCTGCCCCAACGATTTTCTTTAGATCCTTAGGGCAAAAAAAAACTTGATGTTTAAGAAACCCAGAAATCTTTGGGGAGAATGTAACTGAACACTTTAGCTTGACAAACCTTTATCCTTGCCGTCAGAGGACTGTTTATGAGAAGATTTCCGTCGAGTTGGAACACAGCGTGAATCACAGCAAGGACTAGCTAAATCATACGCATCCAAGCTACCATTGTCACCTTGATTATTTGGTCGAATGCACGGTGCACATAAGTGCCGGTGTTTCTGAAATTGTGTTAATATTTTATTAGACGTAAGACATATGAACTGTAGATTAAGGCAAAAGGATATTTATCTTATCTTACCTGCGTAGAAGATTGAACTTTTGCTGAATGTTGATGGCTGTTAGGAGTAAATGGTTCTTCAGTTGGGACTGGAACTGATGTCGCTCCATTCACTTGCCGACACCCTCTAAGACATGATTTGACAACAATCTGATGCTGATGAGGCTGTTGCAGAGAAGTTTGCTGACTGTTCCAACTTAACAGATAGTCTGCACTATTAGTACTACCCACAGTTGAGGCCTGGTATCAGATAAGTAAAATTTTAAAAACCCACTTTTGTTTTGTAAGAGGTACTCTAAGATGCTTCAAGAAGTGGATTGCTTACAATAGACTGTCCTTGAAGAAGATAGGCTCTGTACTGAGGTTCCATATATTGGTAAGCTAATACAACCTGAGGCTGAATTGAAGCTACATCCTCAGTTGACACTGTTGGTCGACAATAACTGTACTCTGTTCCCCAAAAAATGAAAGACAATTACTTTAATTGTTCTTGTTTCTACACATTATTGTATAATTTTTTAAGCCAAACCTGTGGTAGGTTCTTGGTGAAATGATCTTTCAGTAGATGAAGCAGAAGATGTAGCCTTCTTTCTGGCTGGAAGACTGTGCGTTTTCCATTTTCCTTCAAGCAGTTCACGTTCTTTCAAGCATAATCTTTCCAGTTCTAGCATTTTGTTGCGAAGAGCGCGCTGTACTTGGATGTATCTCATATGCAGCTCAACCTTATAAACATGATGATTATGATAGACATTATCAAGATGATTTTAATTAAAAAATATAAAATCGGCACTTACCTTACGAACACAATCTTCAAAGAGTACAACCATACGCATTCTAGAATCACAGTTTTTAATAAAGTTCACCAAAGTTTTGTGGTCTGTCTTCTCCATATCATGTCCATTTATGGATAATATGACATCACCTAAAAAATTGATGGGCAAAGTTAATGGATATGTTGTAAGGCTTTTTGAAGAAAATTATATGGTTAATAATATGGTTATCATTTACCCTCTCTCATTCCAGCACGATATGCGGGTCCATCATAATCAACAAAATCAACGTAAGTGATCATTTCAATTTCTTGTTCTTTTTTATAGTGGATCCCATAACTCTGTTCGAAAATAAGATAAAATCCAAATTAGAACGGGGAGAAGGATAGATGGACATAATACAATCATAGATGAAAAGATGATCAGGCTGCTGTTACCTGTAGAGTAAATCCATATGTTCCAGCTGTTTTCTCAACAATTATAGTTCTTCGACGTCTATCCTCCTCTGGCTGTGTGACAGCCACCCGATCAGACTTCACCCTGTCCAAAATCTGCACTTGCTGAAACAGAAATTCAACAGTAGCATAAGTTGTAAATCCTCTCAGGAATCAAACTCTAATTATACTTTTGTAAGTCCAAGGTCATTAAAATATTTTCATTTCCACTTTTTCCAAAAACAGTTGTAAAAATTAACTGACGTGCATTGGAGGCCGCTGCAAGCGGTTGATAGACGCGAATGGAGTCACTCTAGACAAATATACTGACTGACTAGAGTGCGAAAAAGAAGGCGACGTGTTCTCATAGAAACCAATTGAGTAAATTTCATTAGTGTAAACTTACAGAAGACACGTCTGATTCATCGCCATCGATCTGTTCTTGACCATCCTTTGATTGCCAAATTGGTCTATTTCGTTTAAGAATGGCAGTTCGATCACCGTACTTCGGTGAGTTCATTGCTACAGCCTAGATAACGAACACATTAACTTACAAACAAAACCATGGATTATGATAATACAAAATTCTTATCAATGACAATGGCTAGCAGAAAACTACGGATAGCAAGATAAGCACGTCTGGCTGATGTTAGCCAAGTTAGCCCCCTCGGTACCAACCTGGTACCATCACCCAGTAAGAGGCTACCAGGCTTTAGATGTGAAAAATAATTGTGTCGTAAATTGTCCCACCGCTGCTCGTTCAAATAGTCGGTTCGCTTTCTAGTTTCGGTATCTATCGTCAACACCTTTGTCAATGCTGATTAGAATAATAAATTTCACTGGGAAAAAATGGCATACAGGGCCGGACTTTTCCGCTACCTGCGAACTCTGGTTCCAATGCAGGTACTTCTCATATTGACCGTGGTAGCCTCGCCGAGGTGCCCTGTGATCAAATGTCCTGTATCATTAAACACGTTATTTGCACTATGAGCAGCACTTGTGTTTAGTGCAGTGAAGACAAGACAGTAAATGTTAATTTATTCCATTTAGACAACGTGTAATTTTTGTTTGAGCCAATTTGCTTCTTAATGTGTGGGAAATCTTCGTTTTTAAGTTGGGTAAGTATGAATGAAATAAATAACTGTACAAAACATGTCTCGTCTGTACATCTTTGGTTTGTTTACGTCGAGGGAGTGGGCCGTTCCGTCAAGTTCTCGTACAAATATCCATAATTTCAAGCTTTTTTCATCATTCGGCTTTACGATCTGTCATATTCTACTCAAGATTCAAGCATGTGTCCTTTATGGCATCATTCTTTTAATTTTAAGCTGTGTAGTTAGCGTTTTTCTTGTAATGGTTGGTGGCACACCCTTTAACACGAGTTTGACAACTCAAGATTCTTTTCGTTATTTTGATAATAATTTTCTAACAAGATCCACTTTTTAATTTCAATTTTCAGGTGTGTAGCATTTTCTGAGAAGGGTGGAATGGCCCAAACACACAGTGTCAGCATGCCTGGCGGAACTTCTTCCCGACGACATGGCCATCACAGCCACACACATGATACTGGGTCTTTATCAATGCCACCTGGTCGACATGGTGACACTGAATGGGAGGCAAAGGAGGCTCACAGGCAGCGGGAGCTGGAAGAAGCAAGAGCACGAGCTGCTCAGATGGAAAAAACAATGAGGTGGTGGTCAGACTGCACAGCAAATTGGCGAGAAAAGTGGAGTAAGGTGTGTATATTTTTTGTCGCTGCTGTGTCCAAACTGTAGTATGGATCAGCCATATACTGGAGTTCCAACAATAAGTTGGCTGCTTCTAGATGTCAGTCTGTCATACCCCTTTTCTTCCTTTGGCACTAGTACTAAAAGCAGGCATCTTTCTCTCGCAACCCGTGGTGTAAAGTGTTACAGTAAATTGCATTTTTCCTATTTTAGGTCCGAAATGAAAGAAACTCCGCTCGTGAAGAGAACAAGATGTTGCGATCTAAGCTAGAAATGGCTGTAAAAGACAGAAATAGTTTTAAAAGAGAAAAACTTGATTTAGAAGCTCAAAATGACCGTCTTAAGAGAGAGTTGGAAAAAATTCATCTATTACTCTTGAAACATGATGATCAAACACTTTTGGTAGAGGCATTGGCTCATGAAGATCCTGAGAGGGACTTGACTGTACAAAAACCAGCAAGGCTCACAGGGTCTTCACCAGTTAGCAGCAGCAGTTTACCTTCTCCCAAAGGTACATCAATCAATAGTAGGAGCCCTACTGCTTGCAATGGTAATGGTGGCGAATCAGACAGCTCTCGTAAAAGCAACATTGATTTGCACAACAAAATGTGCAGGGAACTCAATATTGAAGAATATGTTCTTCAAGGGGCTGTACCCCGTCATGCCGTTGAAATGTACTATACTGGGGGCAAGGAAAATGCCTTGGATGCAGAGGACAACAATGACAGTCTTTTATGTACACAAGATGGACTTGAATCACCAGACAATCCTGTTGAAGAAGAAAATAAAGGTTGGTTCAGACTTAGAATACAGGGATAATACAGAATAAAGTTCTTGTCACATGTAAGTCTACCAGTTGTGAAAAAACCATTAAATAATAATATTTTTCAGCCATTAGGAATCGTTCTCCTAATGCTGCAGACACACTTGGTTCACACTATGATGCTGGCAGTGGTAGTAGTGTTGGTGGGGACTGCAAATCAGCACCTCTGGAAGACCATGGAAGAAGGGGAAGAATGGGTGAGCACAATCGATCTGCATCAGTCTGCTCATCCTCTCCAGACCGGGAGTCTCTTATTCAGAGGCTGATGCTAAGATTAGAGGAAGCTACTAAGACTATTCAAACAGAAAGAGAGTAAGTATTTCCGAATATTCAGAGGCTTCTATTGCACTTTTCAAGTACTTTTCAAAATCTTGAGTCTGAGATGGTCATGTTTTGCAGAAACTTCCCCCAGACTCAATTTATTAATCAACTTTTCAATCTCATTTCTGTTTTGTCCACTGTTTGCAGTGAGAAGATGAACTTGCAGAGATCAGTTGAACGTCTAGAAACAGAACTTCTGGAGATGAAGGTTCGTTGTGAAGATTTGTGGCAGGAAAGGCAGAAGGCTGTGAGGGACTTGTTGCAATTAGAGTCGCTACAAGAAGATGAAGTTAGGCACATTCGAGCTGAGCTTCAAGATGAAACATCAAGCCGGGAAGGAATGGACCGTCGCTTAGCTGATCTCAGATCAGAGGTATGTACTTAAAAAGTATTCCTGGTTTTTTAAGTTTTCATAATTTTGGATTTGGTTTTAGATGATTTATATTTTTCTTTCAATATATTTTATAGCTTGAAAGGCTTCAAGCAGAAAATGCTGTTGAGTGGGGTAAAAGAGAACGTCTTGAGACAGATAAGCTTGGACTGGAACGTGATAATAAGAAACTCAGGGCTGAACTCCGTGATGTCCAGGAAAGACTCGCTGAGCGCAGAGCCAAACCTACTTCTGCTTCAGCTGATGCCGAGCTTCGTCAGTGCCAGCAGGAATTAGCTGATAAGACCAAGGTTGGATCCATAGCTTTGTACTGCAGTCTCTTTAAAAGGGTGTTCATAACAACCTTCCTTAAAAATTCCAGGAATTGTCTGGTCTTAAACATTCTCATAGCAAGCTGAAGAAAGTCTTCCAGGATAAATCAACTGAACTAGCTCATGCCATAAGGCGTGCAGATCAATATGAGGCTGAAGTAAAACGTCTGAGAGGAAGAGTGGAAGAGTTAAAGAGAGATTTAGCTGTGGCTGAAGATGAAGTAGATGCAACATCAAATAACATAAGGTATCTATATATGGTGATCATTTTGAATTTGTTGTCATGAAAATGATTAATAATTTGGTTTTACATAACAGGAAACTTCAAAGGGCAAATGATGAACTGCAGGAACAAGTTGATAGCTTACAAGTTCAGTTGGAGCACACACAAACTAGGTAAGCATTCAGAAAATATAAATGTTGCTTGGCCTAACAATTTAGACTGTGCTCTTCATTTATTAATTTAAAAAAACAACAACAAAAAACTTCTTGTAACTGTAAAGTTTGAATTCCTATTTGCTTGCATTGGTATATCTCAAAAGACTTTTGCCTAACCCTTCTACTAAAATTGCTATCTTCCCACTCTTTTGCTTACATTACCTCGATTTATCGGTATATCAAGGCGTGATACTGAGAATTCAGCTTCACCATCAGGCAGCAATGGAGATGATGAAGCAGAACCTGATGCTGATGATGAAGATGGTGATGGAGATGGTCTCTCTTCATCCTAACCTGCTGGTAAACAAATTTATTCTGAATAAATGGGATGATAATGGTTGTTGCCTTTGTAACATCACTGATTTTCAAACTAATCACTATTAACTATTAACCATAATAATTTTTGGGCGAAATGTTATGAAATCCGATTGTGTTTCTATGCCGAACTGATTTCTCTCTACTTCTTGTCAGGCTGCGCAACTCAACATCCTCCAGCCACCTTTCATTATTAAGCCCGAAGCGGTTGCTTGAAGATGGGAGTGAGTATGATGATGACGATGACGATGATCTTAATTTGTATTAGGTTTTGATTATAGCTATGTATCTAGTCATCTTGAGAATTATGAATCAATGTAGTTTGAAGTCATTGCTCTGTGTAGGGTGTTTTAGGGAGATTTAGGCTGTGACTTTGTGGTTTGCTTTCCAGTTTTTATTTCAAGTACTTGAAATTTTATCTGCGTTAATGTTAGCATGCAGTTATAATTTCAACTGTTTGAAGTTATCGCAACCAGCAAATTCTAGTACACATGCAGACTTTGGTATCACTCATCTCCAACTGTCAATGTGTGTATCAAAGAAACAATCAAATAATGATCAGCCTTCAACATATCCACAGTATATACCTCTATACTTTAGTAGCCCAGGATAGGATTGTCTTGTTACTTGTTTTCTAATTTTCCAAATACTAAAATGAATCCTGGTGCTGCTCTCAGTATTATTCTGTAAAGTTTTCTTACATCATGCAGATCTAGCTTTAACCTTTTCCTAGCTGTTAAACCCTTGTCTATTTCATTTTATTTTATTATTCAGGTCATACTATACTCTTACATTCCTGAAGGGTTGACACTGTGCGTGCTTAAGTATGCATATTTGTAACAGCTAGAAATTATATGATATTTATGAGAAATTTTTCAATATGGTAAATAATTTTGTTTTAGATAGAACTGATTTTCTTCTTCTTTAGTGATCTTTAACACTAGCGATTTTATTTCCTTTATAGATTGGTTTAGACTGACTTTATGTGCTCTAGCTCCTAATGTCTGAAGTAGTATCCTGTGATATGTAATACAGTATAACCATTATTACAATTTTTCTTGCCATTTAGGTATATCTAGTTAGTGATTTCTAACAGACAACAATATTTATCATATTACTAAATTATTGTTATTATTACCTACGTATATTATTTTGGTACTAATTTAATTATCCCAGAGAAATCATGAAAAAAGAATGAAATAGAGAGGCGTTTCTTCTCGATGAGCAAACAATGATTTAGCTGATGTTTACATTTTATTGTTGGTCAGATGTGGAAAATATAATCTACTCTTATTAGTTAGTTTTTCTTAAGATTTTATCTCTGGATTTGTGGCGTATTGGCCTACTGTTTGCCTGAATTTATGCAGTGTTACATCTAATCCAACACATCATTTCTGATGTGTATATTGTCATCCCTGTGACATTTTGGTCTGAATCTTGTTCCTAGTCAAACTGTGGGCTATTAGCATTAGCAACTCTAAAATTAAGTAGATATTAGGAAACGTAATTTGTATTGAATAATTATCAGTATTTTCTTCTTTATTTATTACATTGATGTGAATATATTGCTCTCTAAAACTTCTTGTTATTTGATGGATACAATTTGAACAGATTTTACATTTCGTTATTTATTGTTTTGGTTTCAGAGGGTTATGTTTTTGTACTTCTTGACTGAGCACTGTGTAAGTATTTTGCCTATTGTGCTAACGGTTTTAAGTGTAGAACATCAGAGTGTGCATTTCCAAAGTAGATGTGGTACAAGGTACTATAATTGTTATGTTCCCCCACAAATGAATTACTAAACTATACCGTGCGTGAGGGCTACTACACAAGTGTTGCAGGTTTGCATACCCTGGGGCCCATGGCACCATATGAGTGGAGCGAGTAGGCAAACCGCATACTTTTGTGTTGTAACGCTGACACACGGTACTAGAAGTTTTGTTGAAGCACAAAATTGTGAATATGGTTTGAAAATGATACTTGTAAGGCTTCCAAAGCACTAAACAATGACCCTTTGACATATCAGATTTTTAAAAATTCAATTTTTTTAAGCTCAAGTTCTTTCAACTCTGTGTCAGAGACATGTCCGTACTGTATTTCATTTTAGTGTGTGTGCAAGTAATTTTACATATGTTTGTTGAGATATGATGAGCGTATACATACTTGAAGTCTACCTTACTGAAGTAGTGTTTGTGAAAAAAAAAAAAAAAATTTCTATTAGACCCATAAAAATTGAGTATGCATGCCCCTTCTCTCTGACAGCCTACTCCCCTGAATCTCGTTCTGTTGTTGTACAGAAATCTGTGCTTTGTTAGGCTGTAGCAGTCTCATAGTTTCTCCTACTAAAAAGTATGCTGATGTCACTCTTCTAATATGATTTATTTGTTTAAGTTGACTTATTGTTATTAACATCTTGAATGTGGCAGATTTTCACCCTTACAATTGAATGTAGGGTGTGACTAACATATGGCTACATTGCACTTTAATGTGTTCAGCTAAAAACTCCTTATTGTGCTCAAATCTGCTCAAGTAGGGTTTCAAATCTGTCATACATTTGATCACTTATTAGTTATAATCATTGGCTGTCAATTTCATTGGTAACAGCTGTTTATAACATCAGCTGTTTTACCTGATCAAATTTTTCTCCTTCTTTCAAACTTAGTGGTATCGGGTATCAAAGTCATTCTTTACCACACTTCCATATTTAAGGGGCTGTTCCACATTCAGAATAGTGTGTATGGTTTATATATTTATCTGTCGAATAATTTCATACATTATGGGCCTCACAAATGATTTACCTGGATATGTTATTGAAATATGATCATGGTGATTTTAAAAATAAGAATTGTGTATTCATATTAAAAAGAGAAATGGTTATAATGAGAGATACTTAAGAATACTATCCACTGCTTTGGTGATTTGTTCT